TGTATGTAGAGTTATAAGAATCTTTTATTTTCCAAACACGGTCAGCACATTGTCGCTGTGTTCATTGTTGATATTGAGTGTTAGCTTCTTTTTTGTTAATAATGCTTCCATTAATTTTAGGCTTTTTTTTTTTTTTTAAATGTGGATGAGGCTATTATATTTGTATTATAATTTTGATACATACGTAAAACAATCCATAAATTCAGTTAAAAGCAAGAATAAAATCATCATTGATAATAGCTAAAAGTATAGCTGAAAGCACTTGGACATACAGAGCAGTTGGAAAATTTCTACATAATTTATGTCCAGAAAAGAAGAAAATTATATGAACACAAGTAAAATTAAAAAAAAAAAAAAAACTTAACCACAGTATCTTGTCAGTTATTTTTAATGAAAAAACTATATATTATATATATATATATATATATATATATATATATATATATATATATATATATATATATGCATGTGCACACATTTTTTTTTTTTTCAAAGAGAACAGTGACACTGTGCAACTCCGGCATTGGTCACAACCACAGATTTCCAGTGTCTCTGTTCTTCAGACTTTGTCTATCCAAATTTGATTTCAGACCCAAAAGGCAACCATCACACACACACAAGTTCCTAAATAAATGGAAGCATTTTAAGAAAAGTGGCTGGAATTTTCTATTATAATTTTCAATATGGAGACACTTCATTCTAGAATGCTCACAGCCTAAATTAAGAGGTGGGTGGAGATTTCCTGAATATTTAATAAAAAAGGAGTGGCTGGAATAAGGAGGTCCCTAGTGGATTTTTCTCCAAAATTAATAGAATGCTGTGGTTCAACAACTCATCAAAAAAGATGTTGCTTTAACTATCTAGCACCAGAATTTATGACATCCTTCAATTCATTGCTTGAACCATTTCTTTATGCCTAATAAAACTAAGTAAAGTTAGAAGTCAGGTTATTCATTTTTTATACTATGTAAATTTTTAATATACAGTTGACTGAATGTAAATGTTTATATTTCTGAAATTGTAAATATCTATATAACACTGCACCTTTTGTTTAAATAATACACAAATGAAATAAATGAACTAATAAACAGACACTTATAGTTAGGTGCAGGCTAAACAGTTAATAATCTTAAAATTACTTATTGCTACTAATAGTAAAGCAAAACCTTATAACTACTTATAGTTATATATAGCCTATAATTATTGAACAATAATAATTTAATAAAATGTATGTGACTTGTTTATCTCATTGTTAAGAGAAAAAATAGTAGAAAATTAAACAAAGAAAACAAAAAGCAAATGGCCTATTTTCTTGATAGGATGACTAATAAAAAGCATCAGGAACTAAAAAAAGGCTTAAATGACTTATTTTCAATTTTCATAAATAATGAGTATTAAGAGAAAAGTTCTAAATCTAATTTACCATATGAAAATTAAAAATAGGATCATTTTTTATTGTACACATGCAGACAAAGCAAAACATTCATTAACTTAGAGTAAAATCAAATGTAAAAATCATTAAAACGATTGTAGCTTGTAACTCAAAGTAGAACATTTTGAAAAGGACATCCTTTTTAAAATGAATCAGGTTAAAATAAATGCATTATCATGACAGAGATCTTATTCTAAATTATTATACTAGTGAGAATTTAACATTCACAGGGTACAAGGAAAGTAAAAGAAGTAGAGGAAAGCAGCAAGTCAACTATTTGATAATTTTACCAAATGGACAGAGGAACCAGTATTGCTGTGTGCAACAAAAGAAAGGAAATTGTAGAGAACCATTATCATCCACATCTTAAAAGTAGAAAGAGAGAAAAAATCTATAGTTTGGATTTTTAAAAAAATGAAAAACAAGACATAACATTAAAGTTGATAAACTAATGATGTTATATGCATAAATTTGGAGTAAATATCCTCAATCAACTTTTGAATCAGTACTTTAGAAAGTGAGCCAAAGACTGAAAGATCTGAACTGAATCTGTGTATTAAAAAAAATGGTAAGCCTTTTTTAAATATTTTTTAATGTTCACAAACAAATTTCATACTACAGCCAAAAGTTAAAAATGTTTTTTCTCAACTAGTTTAGTACATGTGAAAAAGATAATTCAAATTATTTGCAGACAATCTAACGTTGTTTTCCAAGATGATGTAGGTAGGGAAGAGAGGAAACGTCACCATACTAAATGCCAAATTCATTTGAAGAAAAAGAGAAAATGAAACTGATTTCAAAGCAGACTAAAGAAAGAATACATTTCCTAATTATTAGTCTTATGTGCTGATGAAATTTTTAGTGTTCTATATTCCATGCTAGATTCTTCTTGACCATAGTGACCCATTAGTATTTTAAAAGAAAAAAAAAAGAAAACTTTCATTTGTAATAAACTTTATCAGCTTTCTGAGAACTACTCGAGACAGATCAATTAGTCTTTCAGAAAGAAGCCCACGCCCACTTTGCACACACGCAAAAATAAAATGATTGATTACTATTTTGCCCATCTGGGCTCATAGAATTAATAATTGCATGACGGAAACTGTCGTCATCCGCAGTTAATAATGGGTTTAAAAACGAATAACTTGCTTAAAAACAAAATAAGAGATCTTAAAAAAAACTTGCAATTCAGAAAACTTTACTTTTAGTTTTGTTTCAAGTACATTTTTTTTATATCCTGAGAAAATGAAAATTTCAAGAATTTATTAAGAAAAACTGAAAAACGCGCGAAACGATATTCTTCTATGATTATCATTTAACTATTCGCGCAACGAGTAGATCTATATTGGTCAGTCATAAAAAATTCAAATTGTACAAGCTGAGCTAAGAAGAGATTGTGTTACTTTCAAGGTCATGGTCCTGCATAGAAATTTTTTTTTAAAATCAGCATCCAAATCTTATTTTAACATGGAAACATTGACACCAGTTGTGAAAAAAATACACAACTACTTCACCAATGAGAAAGAATTTGAAACAGTTATTGACAGGATCCTTATATCCCGTTATGTATCGGATCAAAATGAAGGAGTTTTACTTTTTTAGTTTTTTTTTTCATTCATTCACAAAAAAAAGCAGTATAGCCTCTTACAGAGTAGAAAATCTGATATTGCCAATGACTAATGCAGCAATTTCTTATCACTAATTAATTTAAATAAAAGCTTTTATTTTTAAGTTATATTGTAATATGAGAAATGGTGAAAAATAGATTTAAACAGGACAGTGATTAATTATTGAATATTCAACCAGAGTCCGAATGATAAGGACAGGACTGGTTGGAAAGTAGAGATAAATCATTCATTAAGGTCAATATTAATTTCTTTTCTCTTCAAATCAGAAAGTACAATTTGGATTTAACCTGGGGAAATAAAGAAAAAAAGTAATAAAAAGGTATAGATTTTTTTCTATTTTTCGCGGGATATAGAAAAAGAAGAAATCCCTAAGTCAACTAATAATTCCAAAAGCAACCCTTTTCTTCAAATAGCTTTAATTTTCTTTTTTAATCCTTTTGACTCGAGTTTAAACTTTTTTTTTCCTCTGGCTAAGGAAAGTAAAAAGTACTCATTTGTCTCATGTTGATGATCTGCATTGCGTCTGTCATTAAGAAGAGATAAGAAGAGAACGAGGTTTATGTTCATATTTTTTTTTTCGATATTATCGTTTTGATCAATAAAATAAATAACCATCAAAATATTATTGTTTTAAAATTTTATTTTTTCAGAAGTAAGTTTTGAAATAATGCTTTACTTTTTTTAGTTTTTGTCGATTTTTGAAATGTGAATTTGAAAAAAATAATAGCAAGTTTGTGTTTTTCTTTTTTTACTTGCTTTAAACAAAAAACATTCAACGATCAAGATAATGCAAACGGCAAAACCAGCATTTAAAAGATTTTACAAGCCCCAAATTATAAATAAATTTTTTTTTTTTTAAAGAAAACACTGACTTTGTCTAACAGGGGAACTAAAGTTAGAGTCTAACTTTAATTCCCCTTTTTTTTTTTACTCAGTTTTTTTTTCTGTTTTTACTGTTCTCTTCGGGTAGGGGTACAAATTTTTTAGTTTTTAATTTTAAACATTAATTTTTATCTTAAAAATAAAACGGAATGACAAAAATTTACACATTCATAAAGAAGAAATATATAAAAAATTTTTGTAATAATAATTTCAAGTAGTTCTTTGAAACTAGTTTTTTAGACGTCAAGAAGTTTTTAAGGAACGTTTGTATAAAATTTTAACTTTAGAAACAAAGAATATGAAGTATTTATTTTTTTTTGTTTTTAGTAGAATAACAAATCCCGAAGAAAGCTCGCGCGCTTTACATTATAAACAGCGAAGTAAACCAAAATAAATACATATTTTTAAAGACTTTTCTTGTTAAAGAAATGTCATATTTAAGCTTAAGAAAACTTTTTGAAAAAGTTTTGAGTTTGAAGTTAAATTAAAGAAGCAAATTAAAACATGTGCATCTTTTTCAAAATAAGTATCACTTTTTCCCGGAACGAAGTCAACTTACATTTTTATTATAAATAATGAATGAGTGAGAAATTATTTTCTACATCATTTTAAATTTGTTCAACTTTTTAACTTACAATGTCAGTTTTGTTTGATTTTTAATTCTGTCCTACTTATCACCACACCAAGGAAAGGATTTGCTCTTCTTAACAACGTCTTTAGAAAGGTTATCGTAAAAATTGAATAAATAAAATGATCTCTAAAAGTGTATAATTTTTATTAAGGTTTATTAAGCATCAAGACAACAAAATAAAGGGACTCGGTATAAAAAATTAAACTGAAGTATTTTTTTTCTCTATTGTCTTTTTAATTTAAAAAAGTAATCTTGCTCTTTGCATGACGTTTTGTGACTTTTTTTTTAAATTAACATATTCAATAAAAACTGAATAAATAAATAAACACAAAAAATTATTTTCTAAAGATTAATGATGACATGCAATTTAAAAGACAAAAAAAATGATGGGTTTGGCACAACATTTTTAAACCAAATATTTACTTACCTTCGATATCATTAGACATTTTGTCAGCGTCAAAAGCGGAAGAAGTAAATGTTCTTATGGGACAGATTGGCGTTATAAGTGGGGTATACACCCAAGTAGAAGCAGTGTTAACCCAAACACTACCGTTAAAATTACTTGTACAAGTGGCAACACATTTGAAGGTCACAGACTGATCTGAAATATGGCCCTGATGATGATGACGATAATGGGTAGCAAGGTTCACAAAAAAATCTGTTGAGTGTCTTTCGCCGGCACTTCTTTCTGCTTTACCTCTGTCGGAACAAATGCTCACTACCGCAGAGCAATTCTTCACACGTGATGTTGCTGATGTCAATAATAATGATGATGATACTTGTAATATCGACTTTTTAATGCCCAGAGTTGTCTTAAAATTTCCGGAAAACAATGCGGCAAATCCAAGTCCTATCGAGGGTACTGCGGCAACTGTGCTTACTCTAGACGTTAGCTGTGGTGATTTTTGATGCAGTAGTAGTAGTCTGCTAGTGATAAATGTCCTTTTTATATTCACCCCCATCACGCCGCAATATTCATTTACTCATATGTTTAGTTTAACGTGTTTGCTGCATTTTTGAACAGTAAGAAATCTAACTTGGGGAGGCATACGGTGTTGTTTTGCCGGCATTCTCTCTACTCTTTCTCACTTTCATATTTTTTTTTACACTCACTGTGACATACACGTGAACAGACAAACACAATTTACGTGTGTACTACTGCTAATGCTATAACAACTGCTGCTATCCGAAGACTTGCGCATGAAGTTATAGCAACATTCCGCACAAACATACGCGGCTAACTGGCAACTCTCCAAACATAAACCACTGACCTCACCACCCAATCTCTGTCTTTTACTCGCTATCCTCAACCCTTCGTTTCTTTTTCTTTCCAATCACTTTCTTCTCATCTCTGTGTCATTTCCCCTCACTCTTTCGTCCCTTATCACCCACTTTCTTTCTCCTATACCTTCTCCGGAAGCATCTCCTCCTCCTCCTTCTTCTTCTTCTTCTTCTTTGCCTGCTTCTTCAATATCTTTAGTTTGAACACCTGTTCTTATATATATATATATATATAATGTCTCTTCTCTTCTCATCCGCGTGACTATTCCCTCTCTCTCTTTTTCTTTTATCTCTTTAACTCTACTGTTTCAAGAGCCAGCATTTTCATAACCCTTCCTTTTTTTTATCCTCACCCTCCGAATACTTTTTTGTCTTTCTCCTGTTTATTCCCTCTCTTACATTACTCTCTCTCTCTCTCTCTCTCTTGCTTTCCACTTTCCTTGTTATTTTTTCATTTCCCTTCTTTCTTTTTCATTTTCCTTCTTTTCCTTCTCTTTCATTCTTTCTTTCTCGTTATTCCACTTTTGCCACACCTTTCTATCTCTCTTTTCCTTCATTCTCTATTATGCCTTCAACTATTGTCATTATTACCCTCTCCTCTCTCATCAATCTTCTTTCTTCTTGTCACCTCTTTTTTAACTCATGAAATAGATTAGTAGACAATATCAATACTTATCAAACCACCTCCACTTTCTTTCTCATTCTCTACATAAATGATCCCCTGTAAATACAAGAGCCACACAGCAAATTAAAAAAAAAAATTGCACAGACTAAAGTAACAAGTTTCACTTTATTAATAAACATATTATAATTATTATAATGATATTGATAATTTTAACTTGCTTGCTATATAGCACAAAATAAATTTCTTTCTTTCACCCCCAAACTATTTTTCCTTTCTTGTATTGATTTTTCCTATCTTCCACTTTCAAACCTCGAAGCCATTTGCCAATTGAAGGGAACGATAAAAATAAATATATAATGGGATGTGTACTAAGCTCCCAACTAGATAATAACTAAGATGAAAAGATTTACTTAAATGAAAGCCAAAAATGTCTTCTGTGATGTGCTTAGCAAATGAAGTTCTTCTAGTAAATATGGATAACAGGATACTCTTACTGTATGTAAGAGAATAAAATGGTATTATTTCTTATATGGGATACTTTTTAACATTCTTGGAAATGTTCTGGAAAAATGTTAGGAGTGTATTATCAAGACTATGAGAACTTATATTGAATAAATATTATTCTGACTATGAGAACTTATATTGAATAAAGATTAATCAATTTTCTTCATTGATATTATTTATCTGTCTATATTCACCAGCACATGTTTTATATATATATATATATATATATATATATATATATATATATATATATATATATATATATATATATATATGAGGCATGGTGGAGTAGTGGGTAGCAACTTGAACTGAGGGCTTGAGTTCGAATTCCACCGAATCTATTACATTCACTTACATGCTAATACCCTTGGGAAAGGTATGAATCCTTTTCTTCTCCCTCCAGCTATGGGTAATTAACAGGACAGACTGGGTTCTATAGCCTTGGATGGCAACTCGTCTAGGAGAAGGACAACTCTGAATTCAAAATCTGCAGAAGTTTGTTTGGGAACTTTGTGCCATGTAATGCACCAAGTCTCTGTATTCAGCTCTTCAAAAAGTGTGGTTGGTTCTGCTCAAAACTTTCACCACTATAATCAAGTATTATGTGCTGGTGTCTGGCTGTCACTTCCTAGGAACTGAGTTACTGACCCTCATATGACAAATATGACAGGAGAGTCCATAATATATATATATATATATATATATATATATTCAGAGTTTTCCTTTTCCTGGGCTGTTTGCCAACCAAGGCTATAAGGTTCAGTCTGTCCTGCTATTTACCAAGAGCCAGGAGAAGAGATGGATTCATACCTTCCCCAATGGTATTTGTGAATAAGTGAAGGTAATGAACTTGACTGGAATTTGAACTTTGCACAATTTCTCATTCTGAGATCTTATCCATTACACCATTGCACATCCAATCTTACAGCCTCTGTAGAGGGTTGGCAAATGCCATATGAGCCATAGAAGCCAACATGATGCTAAAAACTCCTATTCAAAAAGAATAAAAAACTTTGAAATCATCTGACATGTGGCACATAATGCACCAATACAGGACATGATTCTATGGGAATGGGCTAAAAAGTTCATAGGCTGACTATGAATGAGTGATGCTAGAGCTGTGAAATCTTGCATGCATTAATTTCAACTCTTCTTATTAATAACTATATTGTTTCTGTTCAGGTAAACTAATATCTGATGGTTCAAAGTAACTAGTAGTGACTTGATGTTATCAAGTACCTGCAGAAAAAGGGTTTAGCCCTCAAGGACATTAATGCTGACATGGTTGCTAGATTGATGGATGATGCTCCAGCTTTATCGACAGTGGGCAGCTGAATTTAGGAGGGGAAAGGAGAGTCTTGAAAATGACCCAAGGTTTTAGACAAGAAGACATTGATTGTGTTCACCACATAGTGATGGATGACAGGCATTGACTATAAATCAAATATCCAATGCTATTAGCATATCCTGGAAGAGAGTTGAGAATATTCTGCACATTGAACTTGGCATGACAAAGATTTCTACTTGGTGGATACCACATCTTTTGACACCTGATCAAAAGTTCACCAAACTGATCAAATCACAGGAAAATCTGATATTGTTTGAGGCAGATCCAGCTGGTTTCCTTGAACATTTCCTAGCCTAGGATGAGTGTTGGGTTCATCACTTTGGGCCAGTGAGAAAAATCCAAGCAATGGAAACATCCCTCCTCACCTGCTCCAAAAAAGGCTAAGGTCATTTTATCTGCAGGGAAGGTTATAGCCTTAGGTTTGTGGGATGCAAAAGGCATTGTGTTTAGTGAATATCTTCAAAAGGGTTACACCATCGATGGAGAGTACCAGACCACAAACAGTGATACTTTGAGAGCTGATATTTATGGAACAGGTTTGAGCATGTTGAATGATAGGGGGTTAAATATGTTAAAACATCTACATACACCAGATATCAAAATTTAAATTTAAAATTTGAGCAGCATTATACAGTGTACAATGAATAAATATAAAATGGCGACAATTTACCGATCGCACCCAGTACCTTCACTATTTTTATGTAAACTGTAACTGACACTTGTTGAATTTTCTCCTCCCCTTTCTCCATCATTTTATAGATAACTGATGATGTTCCTATGTGAATTTTGATGGGGCCATTTTGATGGCTATTTTTCTATTCTTGTATCTTGAATTTGTAATTTTGTAATAAAAGACTGTGTCAGAAAAATTAGTAATCTATATATAAAATTCTGTGACTTCTGTTAGTCCGTCTGTCACACCCTCTAAAAGAGCCATACATTGGCCAATTGAGACCAAATTTGGGGGAGAAGTGCAAACAGGTAAGGGGGTACAAATTACAGTTGGTTTTACTAGGGTGCATAAAATTCAAAGTATTTTTTCCAAACAAATGAGCTTATTCAAATTTCATCAAATGGTTTGTGAAATTGAACAATATGTAGAGGTTTTGATTGTTTGTTTGTTTGTTTCAAATTACTAATTTACTTAAGTATTAATCTGTTCTTTTGTTACTACTAATTATTCTAGTTTAGTTTCCATAACTATCCTATTTCTAATGGTACTGAATTTAATCCACATCATCTTAAGTTTTCTTTGAAAGTTTGAATATAAGTCAGCTAATAAGAAGCGCCTGGACACAGTCATGAAGTGATTTTTTTTCGATTTAAACAGTCAGATTATCCTTCCTCCCGGTTTCAGGTGAAGGAGTGTAGTTGCAGAAATAACTCTTGGCTAAGTCTTGACTAAGAATCATTCTTTTAATATTATAATTATATAATATATTTAATGATGAAAAAAGCTTTTATTTTGTGTAACAAACATTTATTTTTCAACATAATCTCTTCCCTTGTCAATGCCCTTAATTCAGTGGTGAGTATCAACCACATAGATGAAACATTATATAATGAAAGTTTTAAGTCAAAATTCAGGCAATAGCTACATGTTAGACATATTATACTACCCTCATACATACATACAGACATTCATTTTTGTGCCTATGTATTGAGTAATACATTTTTAATACTTATCA